CGTTTTTGACAATGCTGTAAATTTCGGAAAAAATGATATACGGTCCATTTTTTGAGCTTTTGTTTTTACATTTTTTAGCATATGAGCCCAAGCCTGACGTCAAGCCAGTACGTCCAGCCTACTAACAAGAAGCCAAACCAAAAACAATTGCTTTGGGAAAGAAAGGTAAATATGATTTGGAGTAAATTTTTTTAGATTTTTTTTGAAATGAAGGAAACTAAAAACAAGTCGTAGAGAAGCCCATTCACGAGAAAGACCGAACTAAATCAACACACAAGTATAGAGCGTTTTCACGCGACGTCACAGCGGCCATTATGGGGTACCAAAACAATCTACATTTTCTATCCTCCGGGAATTGAACTCTATTTTTATGCAAATACTGTGCACATATCAAACAATTGTTGTCATTCGCGGGCTTCCTGTGGTGACAAACCACGCTCCCCTCCCCTACACAATTTCCAGTCTTTTTTCGGCCAAAACCAAGATGACTGACTAGTTAGTGATGTTTTCACTCGATTTACTGTAACTTTGAGCAGTTTTGAGCAAGAAATTCGCCTATTTAGTGAAGAAAATTATATTCCAATTTCCTAATATGGTAAGTACATTCCATATATGGTAAAAGAAACAGCTCGAGCGGAACGACAACTTTTCTATGTGGAAAGTTTGATATGGAACGTTTCTATTGTTTATGGCTGCCTTCTCACGTGAGTGAAAACCCACTATGTCAAGAATAATGTTCCATTTTTTTCTTTCTTTTTTTTCAGGACTTTGATGATAGATAATGAGATTTCAAGACAATAGTTAAAATTGAAGCTAGGTTTAAACTGTGGAAATATAGGGGTATTAATAATAGTTGATAATAAAGCAAAATCATAAACGATCAGATTTTGTTGGGGTCTTTGATCTTTGAAATAGAGTGTCAAATGTTCTTTATTGAGGAATTATAAAATAATTGTCATAAATCTCGCGTTCTGATTGGTTGGGAGCACGTGCTTTATGAGAGCACCACAGCACGCACGCGCACTTTCTATTGCGTCATTCCTATCTAAAATAGCGGTTATTGTAATTTGTACTTTATAAAAGAAATAAAAAACTTGCTTGGTGTGCTGTGTGCAGTCGTAAAGCACTTGGGGTTTGCACAACACTCGCGCGGGTTTTCTATTTCTTCATAAGAAGAAAAAGAAGAATGATGATGATTATGATGAGATGATGATGGTGATGAAAATAGTAATAATAATAATAAATAATAATGATAAATAATAATAATAATAATAATAATAATTCACCTCAAGAAATACAGACATACAACAAGGACGCTCAAAGATGACGAGCGAGAAAGAAACCAGATATTTGCTGCTGAAAAGCCAAAAATGAATCCTATCACAGAATGCGGAAATCGTAAAGCAATTTCATCGCTATTAAAAGCACTCTTGCAAGAAAGAACAATGGAAAAGAGAACTTGTGTAATTGTTAGAATGATAAGGATTGGCCATAAAAATTTCCATAATAATGATAATAATAATAATAATGATAATAATGATAATAAGAATAATGATAATGATAATAAGAATAAGATATAATAATATATTAATAATGATATCACCAAACTGACAAACTCTATCATTATAAGCTCACCGTTCGTCTCGCTTCGTTGCAAAGGCACGGCTACCTTTCAAGATGACGCAGGGAACTGTGGAGGGAACTATTATCAAGTGGATGATTAAGCGCACAGTTTATACACCCTTCTCATAACGGCTGATGAACGCACGGAAACGATGTCACCCAGTCATCTTGCAAGGTTGAGCCAAGCTGCTCATTCAAAATAAAGGCTGTTAGCGCTAATTCAGATCAAAACAAAGGTCATTTTTTATACTTTTCTTCTTTAAAGTCATTTCATGTAATTTTATATCTTTTATTGTGAAATAATGACTGGATGACCTCGTTTTCATGCACTTGTCAGCCATTATGAGAAGGGTGTATTAGATTCCTATTTTTCTTCCCGTGAAATGAAAACATGACCACGTTCTTATCATTTGCCTCTATTCCATTTACCTTTTTAAAGTGTTTTGAATGGTAAACTGACGTTTCAGGTTTGCCGTAAACGATAATCTTAAACGTAATTAGCAAATTGATGTCCCTTTACTATGGTGTGTACAGTCTTATCGAACATGGAATGGCGTCAGCATGTGATCCAAACTCAATTGGACCCAAGAGCGCACGCAGCGAATGGTTTCACTGCAAAGTTTGCTGACGCCATTCCAGGTTCGACAAGAGTTCAGGCAAAAAAAAGGGACCTCGATTTGTTTCGCTTAACACGAAAAATCCAATAACATGCATCTTTTAGACGCTTTTTAGTGATCAAAAAGACCAACGGCAAGAGCACGCTCGTTGACGTGAGCTTATTGATCTGGCCTCATAACAATTTGTGGTAAAAAGTTGTTTTGATACAATGCTAGATACGCCTAGATACGCTAGAAAGCATATAAATATTGGACTGACAAATTTCGGAATGTTTGATGAAGAAGAAGCCGTGAATCGAATCAGAAAGCTTTGTTGGAATATACTTATTGTTTATACATTTTTGACACTTCTGAAAGGTCTAAATCTGCTAGACTTAATAATATTGAGATACTTTTTCAAATGACAACTTGTTTTGATGAAAAAAAGAAATCAAAAAAATTCGACCCAGTGTTTAAGTCGTTTCTATTATTAGTTGCCAATCTCACTCCCCCCCCCCCACCCCCCAAAAAACTATAGATTGCTACATTAAACATACTAACTACATTAAACATACTAATATTCTTGCCAAGAAAGATCTTGAAAAAAGTATAAACACTTTCCACTGAGGGGGAAAAGGATAAATACGGAATAAAAGTTTACCTAGTGTAGATTAGCTTTTTTTATTCGTTTTTAGAACGACTTTCTGCGCGCGAGGGTGGGAGTGAAGGAGAAAGAGAGAGACGGAGGGATCAATCTTAGAATTTTGGAAGACAGACGACGTAACAACTTTATTAGACAGGGTAACACCGTTACCATAAATGATAATTTTCAGGTGGCCCTCGATAAAATATATACAAAATGGAATAATAATAATAAATAATAGTAATATATATATA